TGAAGTCACCTTCCCTTCTTTACATTTTCTATGTAATTAATGTTAGTGCACTGACCTGGCTATGCATGTCTGGAATTATGGCGTCTCCTCTGTTGCTGACTTGAACTGTTGTTAAAATCCTTAGTCACGGTTTAACTTCTTATATGTTTGTGTTCTGACTCTTCACATTTTCAATAGGACTCTAATTTCTTTGAGGACAAAGGCTTAATATTAAGCCTGAAATAAAAGGTTTAAGTTAGCTGTGTGTGCATAGTCGGCCATGATCCATCTGAAAATAAACACGAATCCTTCCCAGATTGAAAAGAAATGCTGAGGTCCACTAAACATACTAAGATGGGTGGGTTAGGTTAAAATCAATAGAACAATCTGCTCAGTTAGGAAGTGTTCCATTGTTTTTCTGTCACCCCAACTCATTAAGAAATACTTTTTGATATCTGCTATACACAACAGGCTTAATGTCCTGGCTTTTATGTAGGCATGTATAAATAATGGTCCTGGATTGCAGGGAACATGTAAGTTATTTGGGTAGGATTTTATGTCTATAACATTTATCTAGCAATCTTAGGAATTACATGATAAAGGCTAAAATGGTCCCGACAATGAGAGAATTTAGAGAAGGTTGGCGTGCCCGGTTCACGGACGTGGGTATAAAAGATTGAGCAGCATTTAGAAAAAGAAAGGGAAAACAAAATCAAAAAAAGGAAAACAAACAAACAAAAAACTGAGAAGAGAGGAATGGTACTTCAGGTGATATATTTACACTGAGCAAAACATGTTTGTTACACGTGTAGAAGACAATATATCAAATGGTTCGGTAATTAAAGATATACGCTATGAGGTTTGCCACATGTAGTTTGAGGTATACAAAACTATATTATCATATAAACATCAGATTCAAAAGGGAACACTTCTATACTGTTGGTGGGAGTGTAAACTAGTACAACCTCTGTGGAAATCAGTGTGGCGATTCCTAAAAGTTCTAAAAATTGATCTTCCATACGATCCCACAATCCCCCTACTGGGAAAATACCTGGATGAACTCAAATCACTCTATAGAAAAGATACCTGCACACGTATGTTTATTGCAGCCTTGTTCACAATAACAAGAACATGGAACCAACTGTGCTGCCCATCAAAAGAGGACTGGATTTAAAACATGTGTTACATATACATGATGTAATATTATGCAGCCATAAAGAAGAACAAAATCATGAACTTCACAGCAACGTGGATGGAATTAGAGTCTATGATACTGAGTGAACTTTCACAGAAACAAAGAACTGAGTATCACATGTTCTCTCTCATAAGTGTACCATGAACAACTACCATAATACTATAGGAAAAGGATTGACAGTAGTTGGAAACTGTGGTAGGGGGCAGGGTGAGGTAGGAATGACAGTAGTTGAAATCTGACTGGGGAGGGGGGCACACCTCATCAACAGGGGTACCTGCACGATGAATGTTTGTATAAACAACCCTGAATTGTACCCCACAATTTGAAAATAAAAAAGTTAGACAAACAAACAAAAACATCAGATTCCTGAGAAGCCAGTAACGGATTTTGAGCTTGGCAGTGACATGATGAGGAGGCTGATTCAGGAGAATTAATCCGGCACTGGTGTGCAGGTAAACTGAAGAGAGGTTGGAGGCTAGTATTCAGTAGGGAATTATTAGAAAATTTAATTTAAAAACTTTAGAACTTGGCATGCCTTTCTTGTACAAGAAGGCGGAAGAGGGAACTGGGACCCAAATAGTAAAGAGAATTGCCTAAGAACATGGTTAAAGGTTTTTGTTTTCAAACTTTTATTTATGTTTCAGATCACAAATTTATAATTCGAAAGAATTTTGCTCTCTTTAAAAATAAATTTAAGCCGGGCTCAGTGGCTCAGCCTGTAATCCCGCGCCTTTGGGAGGCTGAGGTGAGTGGATTGCCTGAGCCTGCGGGTTCGAGACCCGCCTGGGCAGCGAGACCTCATCTCTACAATAAATCAAAAAAAAATCAGCTGGGTGTGGTAGCACATGCCTGTAATTCCGGCTACTCGGAAGGCTGAGGTGGAAGGATCGCAGGAGCCCAGCAGGCGAGGCTGCGGTGGCCGGAAGCGGCCACTGCACTCCAGTCTGGGTGACAGAGTGAGACTCCAACTCAAAAAAAAAAAAAAAAAAAAAATTAATAAATTTAAAGGAAAAAGATGAGTGAAGAGCAATTCTACCAAATGCCAAAGTACATTTTTTTGGGTCGGGGGACTAGAAACAGATTAAAGAGTACAGCTTGATAATATGGATAGAAACTTGAGATTTTTGTATTCAGTAGACTATTTGTCTTAGGCATTTATGGAAAATGGTATGTTAATAAGTAATTCCTAGCTATACTGCATTATTTGACTACCAGTCCTGTGTTATTTCCATTACATTAAATGGTAGCAGTAAACATGAAAATGGTATCTCATAATTCATTGATGAACTTGACTGTTTTGCTGCTGGATTTATGCTAAGACAGCTCACATCATTTTCACATCATTTAATAGAGCCAACATGTTTTCAAGGCTACTGACATTTCTGCTGGTTTTAAGTGTCTTTTAATGTTTGTTTGCACTTGGGTAGCAACCGAAAAATATCATTAAAAGGCAGTCATTCATTTCCATTAAGGAGCCATGACACATGGATGGAAGTATGTTTTTATCTGAGTCCAGGGTGAACAAGAAAAAAGAATCCTCATAAAATCTGTAACACGGGCCCATGTTCTTGGGAAATGTCCTAAGTCATGATAACTTTAACCATTATTTAATTTCTTGTGATACATGTGATAATTTCCAGTGGGCAAAGACCACCAATGGAGAATGCCATTAAGTAAAGATCAATTGCAATTTAATTGGTTTTGAAATATATTCTCAAGTCTTTGCAATATTATAAACTTCTGGAATACCTTGCCAAGCATAAAATCTTGCACAATGTGATGAATGCACGATGATTTAACAGAGAATTCCAATCTATCCTTACATGCAGGGACACTGCTCGATGACCAGCCGTTCATTCCTGTATTTATCCTGCGAATGTCTTTTGAGTGCCAAAGCGACCATGATATAAGGTAAAAAGAGATAAGTTAAAAAAAAAGATGTGTAGATGGAATGCTGGAGGAACTGGAACGCTACTACTGTCAATATTCATTGTGGGGTTCAGCCTCTTTTACCATAAGCCCCTGTGAAATGATGAAAGTCCCTAACTCCTTCCACCAGAACAGACCAAGATGACCAGGAGATGACATGTGGATTTTCAGTGTAGGCGTACGTCTAAGTGTAAGTGCGATCCCTGAAAGAATAGTCAGAGATCAAGGAAATTATCAAGGCCAGTGCCTAGGCCACTAGCTCACAGTAATCTCTTTCTCTCTCTTTAGAGTTGAGATCAAATGCTCTATTTCTAGTCAAATTGAGAATTTGAGAGAAATGACCTACAGATAGTTTTGGGTAGAAATTTGGCCCACTTTATTGATCTTGAGACTTAATATTCTTTGGGGTACACACATGGATTTGAGTCAAAGAGATACACATATGCAAACATGGAGAGTTGTGGGCTCCCAAGCCTCTGGTTACTGTAGTGAAGGTCTGAGACTGTAGAGTGTACCAACTTCCTTCAAGCCCAGGCTACTTGATCCAAGGAAACCATACAACCACAGTGTGTGTGTGTGTGTGTGTGTGTGTGTGTGTGTGTGTGTGTGTGTGTGTGTGTGTGTGTGTGTGTTTGCATGTTTCCTTAGAGTCACAGAAGCAGAAAGAATGGAGGTTATCAAGGAAAAGGAGTGACGCTGGCAAAAAGTCTGGGGATAGGTTCTTCAGGGTCTCATATCTTAGGCCAGTGGGATTTTTTTCTCTTGAATATGATTATTTTAACAGGAGTTTAGAATTTAGTTATAGCAAACTCATTCCACTAATACCATTTTATTCTAATTTCTTTTCCTCCCTCTTTGCCTCTCTTTTTTTTCTACTTGTAGAACTTTGCTAATAAGGACATTATGTTGGAGGGCAAAGGATGTCTAAAGATCAGACAGGAATAAACATAAAGAAAGGTTCTAAGGATAGCAAAGATAATGTGTATTACAAGTTAACTCTATCCTATTACTCAAGTAATCTCTATCCTATTTCTACCTTACTATTATTCAGTTATTTAATTCATAAGTCATTAAGCACCTAAATTATCTAGATCAGTAGTCCTCAATCTTTTCAGCAACAGGGACCAGTTTTGCAGAAGATAATTTTTTCACAGAATGGGGGCAGGGGAATGGTTTTGAGATGGTTCAAGTGCATTACATTAATTGTGCACTTTATTTCTACTATCATTACATTGTAATATATAATAAAATAGTTATCATTATGAAATTATTATTTTGAAATAAATTTGCAAGCAATTGATTCATGATGGTCTCTGTGCAGTCAAACCTCACAGCTAAGGTTAATCTGTATTTGCAGCCACTCCCCAGCACTAGCATCACCACCTCAGTCCCACCTCAGATCATGAGGTATTAGATTATCATAAGGAGCTCACAACCTAGATCCCTTGCATGTGTAGTTCCCGATAGGGTTCACACTCCTATGAGGATCTAATGTCTTCACTGATCTGGAGGAGGTGGAGCTCAGGTGGTCATGCAAGTGATGGGGAATGGTTGCAAATACATATGAAGCTTCACTCACTCACAGCCACTCACCTCTGGCTGGGTGGCCCAGTTCCTAACAGACCACAGACTGGTACTTGTCCATGGCCCGGGAATTGGGGACCCCTGATTTAGATAATAATTTTGGTACTCCCCTGTATTTATGCCAACACAGACACAAAGAGGAACTTAAAATTTACAAAGAAAATGTGGGGAACATATGCATCACAAAAATGACATGTATGACATGAATTCATACATGTAGGTACAAACACACCTTTGTACTATGTGTTATTTTTAACTCAAACTCTTGGCACTTCCAGGTAATCTAAGAAAAAAATCTTTAAAAGGCAATGTCTACTATCATAATAAAAAATATTTATTATAAAAATGATCACATTTCTCTGTACATATCATAAAGACAAAAACACAACGTATACATCAATCATTTAAAGTGGGCCTGAACACTGAGCATCTGACCTCCAGAACCCTGAAGCTCTTCCTTAGATTTCAATATCAACAGTGTAGACTATTCCTATGTTATAGGACTCCATTTGCACAGTTGATGTTATTGAGACACTGCTATTTCTCTAGTGTTTTAAAGATAGTTCACAGTGTTTGGGTTAATTAATTAATCAACTGCTCTAAATCTCTGGTAAATACACATAATTACATGCAGAAGTGTTTAGATCAAATGTCAGTAAAAAACTGAAATGACAAACAACCTATGGCAAACAGTTTTGTGTAATCACTAAGTGCATAAGTCGGAGTCCCAGCACCAAGAAAAGTCACAGTCCAGGACTTCCAATGATAAAATGTGAAATCCAAAACAAACAGCTGAGCCTCTTTTGCCACCACCAGGAGCACCACAGCACTGGACACCACAGAGTGAAACAAGCATTAAATCCCACATGTCAACAGGGCTGGTCGTTTTATATTGCAGAGAATCCTAGTTTCTTTCTATATGCCAGTGTAAATGTTAGAGTTTATTACCTCATAAAATCCTATTCTCTTAAAGAGTCCACACTGCTTTGAAAGTCATCAACTTAGCATTCTGCCAATAATTTCGCCATGAAAATATAGATCATTCTTTGAAATAATTTGTGGGGAAAATAGAAAGGAGTCTGCCTTCTGCTTTCATCCTCTCCTTCCTTCCTTGCTTCTTTCATGTTTTCTCTCTTCTTCTCGAAGAGTAACCTGTCCAATGGTCTGTCAGCATGCGTATCATATCTTCACTCTCCCAAAGCACCATGCACATCACAGCTCTCATTCACTAGCTCCATGAAATGAAAGCATTCTGGTGCGAGAACCTCTTACTTCCAAGTCATTTTGTTTAAAAAATACTCCAAAAAGTATTTACGTTCTAACATTTTTGAGCCATTTGAGAAAAAGTTTTTTGCAGATGTGTGAATACTGGCATGTAGAAAATATAATCAGATATATCAAAAATACATCTTTTTAAGCCTAGAAAATGAATGTCTTTGGATGATTATCTCAGGGCAGAGAACAGCCCTTCCTACTGAGTTAGGTGCTGAGTATAGGATTTCTTTCCCAAACGATGGTTTTTCCAATCCATTGCTTCATTTATAAACATGGCAAGGTGAGAGATATTTTGATTGCCTGCCATGTTCGTGATTCTTCTCTTTCTCCAACCCCAACATCCTGAGTTCAGTGCACACTGAGCCACAACTCACCAAGACTAGGCCCCTGGGAACATGTATCCCCTTTCTGTGTGAAGTGCAAATAGGAAAATCAGCACTCTGAGGCGTCACACAGGCAGTCCTGGTCTACAACTCTGACTAAAAGCATTTTGACTCATACTTCCTCATTCAACACGAACGTTGTTTTAGTCACCAGCTTGTTCCTTCTAGAGCACATAAATATATATGAAATGTACATTTACATACATTTTGAATCATGTGTTGTCAACTAAGCTCTGATCCTTCACACAACAGGAAAATGCTGGTGTATCAACCCTTAGCATGCAATGAACATCAATACTGCTCTCCTTTGATATCAACAAGAAGCCTCAAATATTGGTCTACTGGAACGGCTAACCTCCATGGTCTCTCTCTTTCCCACTCTTGTTGATAAAAAGAGGGGCAACTGAAGCTAACTTTCTCTTCAGAATTTGATATAAACTCGTGAGTTATTCTACGTTAAAAACAACAACAACAAAGAGCTGGCCATCTGTTGACTCTGTGGTCCTGCGCTGTCTTCTCCCTGTCACAGAAATGAGTTCTGTCCTCACAGGATGGATGTTCTGATCAAGGAGCTCCTGTTGCTGCCAATTGTCTTGAGGAAACAAGAGTTCACATACAAACATTCAGGAAGCAGCCCTGGTGCAGACCCACTTTGATCCCATCAACTGTCCGGAGTGTCCCTCTTCACATGGCGACTTTTTCTTTTGCCAAGTTCTTTGGTTCCCTGCTTGGGATGCACCAGTCGTCAGCCTCGGAGCTCATCTGATAATGTTTGAAGGCTGACTTGTTAAAGACCGGGAGTTTCTCTATAGACTCAGAAGACAAGGCCTAAAAGAAGAGGGGGAGAAACATCAGATGGAAGAAATAACACATGGCATGATTTGCACTTACAGTGATTATTCAAAATACTTTCAGAGGTAAGTGTTCAAGTGTTCAAATACATTCGTTTAGTTTATATGGTAACAAGAGCACCCCAGAGCCCACACTGACATTATTAAAAGGCTCTTTCTCAATAGTTTGAAGGCTTCTGTTCATTTAAGAAATGAATATATTGTCTATTTCCAATGGTCAAAGGCCATTGGCAAATAATTCCAGTGCACAAAATGGGAGCCTGGAAACTTAATGTTTTAGCTGTTAATATCTGTAAATACATATGCAGTAAGAATAGTTGGCAAATGAACAGAGTCAAGACTGTGACCTTAACAAATAAAGCAAGGATTTACCAGAAGAAGAAAAAGCGTGCACAAAGTTCTAAAGTTTGGACAGAAAGTGCCTGGCATCCACTACCACCCACCACACTATGGGCTGTCTGCTTTCCTGTCCCTGGCTTTCTGATGAGGTCACTCAGTAAGGTCTTGAGTCTGCTGATACACATTATTCCCTAGGCTGGAACGTTATTATCTTGTATCTCCCACAAATTCAACAGCTTGTCTCACAGATGCCAAAAGGGATGGCCTTAAAAGATTCCCATGAGCATGTCCTCACCTGAAACTTTGGAAATGTACTTCTTGAGAGACACTATGTGTCTCCCCGAGCTAGGCAGCATGGCCTAGGCTCTCGTGTTGGTAAGTTACCATATTAGATGATATGTGTATACACACCCAGACAGAAAATCGAATTTGAATTTGTGGTCATTATTTGCCTTAATTCGGTCTAGGGAATTCAGTCTGGGTCATAGAACTCAGGACTGTAACAGAAGCAATAGTTTTAGAAACATGATTTTTTTTTTTTTACTGAATTCAAAGCATAAAGCATACCTTTAAGTAGATGACAGCATCTGTTCCATATCCTGATAAAGAGTAGAGACTCAGATCTCCTTGGAAGTACTTGGCATAGAGACGAGAAATTGGCAAGCCATAACCAAATCCAGCCTGGACGGGGGTGATGAATGAACAGTAAAGCAATGTACATCGAAATACAAAATGTAGGAAGACATGACCCCCCTCACTGATGCTGATATCCTAGAACCTACATCAATATCATCTACCTCCAATCAGAGGCTTCTTGTAGATGGTTTCACCATTTTTAGGTGGCTTATCATTCTTTCTCACATCCCTCACACCTAACTGGACTAAACGGATCCACAAGCCTGGATACTACCTTATAAACTTTGCTCTATATTTAGCACTTGGTGGCAAGACTGGATTCAGCCATACATATGGTCTTACCAGAGGAGCGTTCCGGGAGTTATCCATCACAGGCGTGGGTGCAGTGGAGTACGTGTAACTGAAGAGACGGTCGATAATTCTCAGGGGAACACCACCTCCTCTGTCTGAAATCTTAAACAGACAGACATGCCATCAGAGTCACACATCAAAAACAAGGGGCATTTGTCTAGAGGAAAACGGCTTTCTTCCATTTAAAAGTCACCTGATATGTAGGATTTATATCTATTGCCAAGAGCAGAGAGTTTTATTATTATTGGTCTTTTAAAAATTATCTCAAGAACTCCCCCTCCACTCCCCCAAAAACTCCAAAGACTGGTTACCTTGATGGTAAGGTCTTCTTTCCCCAAGACAACAATCACCTCGATGGGGGTGAGAGAAGGCCAGTTTTCCTGGTGTTCGACTGTGGCCCTCATCGCATTCTAAGGAAAACAAATCCATAAGGAACTGATGGCTGTGGAGTCAGGGGCAGCACACAGCTGTGTTCTATGTTTAGAATTAAAGTGGCACAGAGGGGAACTCAACTCTCCTCTTCTTGACATTATTAGTAAAACAGCTTTGTAAATAGCCATGCATGGATGTGTCATGCAGGATGTATAATGAAAAGCATTCATTTGCCCTGCAATATAGCTCCTGGGAGTCATGTCTAATGGAAAAATGACTCTGCTGGCTGTCAAGTCGTTATTTGCAAGCTTCATTTAAAGGCGGATATTGGCTTTTATCGTCCATTTCCTAGCGCTCCCTTTCTGTCTTTCCATCACATTTTACACCCAAGCACCAAAGACTATTACATAATACACAAACAGTGAATCATTGAACCAATTTATTGGCTTTTATAAAATTTGTCTGGAGAAACTTGTTACTATTTAAAAAGACAGTCAATAATTCTAAATTAAATTTCATTTTGCATTTGATTATCATCTTAACTTTTACCAACGACAGCAAAACAACTCTATGACTTGGATTATTCCATTTCAAAGTAAATCAGATCAACAATAAAGTGTCTTATCATTCTTCAATACAGAACAAACTAAAGCAAGTTTTCAGTCTATTGGCTGAAGTTCACACAGATACAGTCTTGGTTTGTTTACTTATTTTTGAATCAGAGTTTCACTCTGGCCCAGTCTGGAGTGCAGTGGCACAATCATAGCTCACTACAGCCTTGACCTCCTGGTCTCAGGTGATCCTTCTGCCTCAGCCTCCCAAGTAGCTGGGACCATAGGTGTGCACCACCACATCCAACTAATTTTTAAATTTTGTGTAGAGACAAAGTCTCACTATATTTCCCAGATAGGTCTCAAACTCCTGGCCTCAGTCAGGCCTCCTGCCTTAGCTTCCCAAAGTGCTGGGATTACAGGTGTGAGCCATTGTACCCAGCCCAAATCTGTGTTTTAACAAGCCCTCCAGGAGATGCCAGGACACATGGCAGTCTGAGATGCACTGCTCTACAGGCTGGTATGGGCAATGTGGAAGGGAGACCAGTAATAGAGCCCATGGATCATTAGCTATTCGGCATCTCAGGCCCCGGCCCCAACTCACTGAAGCAAAATCTACACTTCATCAAAGTCCACAGGTGATTCATGCACACTTTGAATTAGTTCACTGAAAGAACCCACTGCACTTTGGGTGCATTCTAGACTCCTAATGGGGCTGTGCCACCTACAGTAATCCTGGACCTGAACCTCCGGGTCTACCCAGGCTGCGGGGGCAGAATCTCAAGGCCTCATTCACTGAAGCAGTCACCCCTTGATCCCTTTTTAATGAATGAAGTAACTAGTGCTTTGTTGGAAACCTGGGAAAGTCTTGGGAACAGCCTGCTGGCCCCAGGGCACCAGGAATTCCTCACATTCCCATGTGCTTGTGAATGCCCTGGGAGCTCCACCCACGTGGACATCCGCCACACAGCTTCCTTCTTTTAAGCCAGGAAGACTCCTAGGAGAATCAACAGGCTCCCGTGTAGTGAAGAGTGTGAGTGAAAATGAGAGTGTGATGGAGATGTCATGTAAAGACACAGTTGTGATTATTGTGAAGTTTCATACCTTAAACAGTTCGAAGAGCATGTGATGAAGGTGAGAAGGAACATACACGATATGAATTGGTTGGTCTGGATGTTTTCCTAGAAAGATTATACTTATTGAGAACTGCGAAACAAATATTTCACTAAAATACCTGCCATGGCTATCTGATTAATGTTTTAGACTTAAACGGGGATGGAACATGCCTCCTTCCCATGCCCAAATTTCCCACTCAAACAGTGAATAGAACTGGCTTCTTTTCTTTTCTTTTCTTTTTTTTTTTTTGGAGTCAGGGCCTCGCTCTGTCACCCAGACTGGAGTGCAATGGCATGATCACGGCTCATCTCAGCCTCCACCTCCTGAGCAGCTGAGACTGCAAGCATGTGCCACCATGCTTGTAGCCGGCTAATTTTTTAATGTTTCTGTAGAGATAAGGGCTTGCTATGTTGCCCAGGATAGCCTCGAACTTCTGGGATCAAGCGATCCTCTCACCTTGGCCTCCCAAAGTGCTGGGATTATAGGTGTGGGCCACTGTGCCTGGCAGGACTAGTTTGTTTTCAAAATGCTGTTAGAGTTGCTACCTAGTGCTCTCTGACTAATTTTTGTATTTCCCTACAAATGCATACAGTTGACTGAAGTATAAAGCAATGATGCTATAAATTAGGTTACATGGATTATTTATATTTTAAATATTTCTGTACTGGAAAATTTCAAGGTTAAAGTTATATGCATTTATGATAGAAGAAAAATAACCATGCTTATAGTAGAACACAAATTAATGCTAGCTATAATTTTCATGTTGCTAATGCTTGATAAAATAACACATCTGATTCTTCTTGGTTTTTGTATCACCTATACATCAAATGTTATGAGCTGAATGTGCTTAAGTTTCACCAAGAGGCTAAAGAAAAACAGAGAAACAAAAAGCTCTTAATGCTGCTTGAAAAGAAAAATAAAAGTATTATTCTTCAGTATTCCAGGCCTTGGCCAAGTTCAAACCAGAAAACACAAGGCCTGGCACAATCCTCTTTATATTATGAAAGAGTTCAAGTAGTTTATCTACTTGTGTTATGCAACAATGCTGTTTATGCTTAGAGATATTTTCCAATCTTTATTTGTGCTTCTATTTTTAGTTCAGTATTTACTTACACGGATATGTCTCTATCCCCTGAGTTAGGCTACTCTTAATTTGAGCAACTTGATTTTAACTCTCACCCTGAACGAGAACTGTTCCTGAATAAATATCACTTGGGAAAGATGTTACTTTAGGTGGAAAGGAGAAGGTCTTTCCAGCTTAAGCATACTGCCTTATGTTGAAATGCAACTATCTTCTAGAACAGGATGGGGCAGGATGGCACAGTGCTTTGCGTTAACCCTGTAATCATTCCAGTCGACATGGGAAGACCTCATCTTGACAGAGTTAAAGGTTTTGAAGTAAGTTCTACTTCCCAAGCAGTAGTATACGCCTACAGTGCAGTTATTTTCAACTGAGGTAAGGACCTACATGTTTAGCACGTTTTAAGCACATGGTACACTCTTGTTTACACAATCACTGTGTGTTGTTCAGTACATCTCTAAGACTCGTTCATCCCACGTCTCTGAATCTTTATCCCTGTTTTTCCCCTCCTCTAGCCCTGGCAACGGCCATTCCAGTCTCTACTTCTGTGCCCATGACAATTTTAGAAACCTCATGTAAGTGGAGCCATGCAGTATTTGTCCTTCTGTGACTGGCTTATTTGTTACTGTTCCCAGGTCTTAGGGATGACCCCTTCAGGAGGGGATCGCTTTGCCAAGGGGCTTTCTTGCCTCTTGTCTCCTAACCCCTCATATTCCATAGTCACCTTCCCTCATCTGAGAGATTGGAACTTAGTTGCTGCTTTAAATCTCACATTACTTGTCCATATCATTCTTTATGACTCTTCATTAGCAATGGAATGCTTAGAGTTTTCCAGTTGAGATTAAAAAAAGACCTTGATTTTTTAACAAAAAAGGTACATACTCTAGGCAAGTTGAGAAGTAAAGAAAGGAACACAGAAGTTGTTTTACACTGACAAAAAGTAACCACACCGAGAGAATAGCACATTCCCCATAGGTTAAAATATATTTTGTGTAAAGCTTACCATTCACTTGCGTGAGCTTTAGTTCTGGAGATGTTAAATAATACTGATCACAGAGCATCCTTGAACACTCAAACGCATCTGGAATAGAGGTGGTTTTCATAATAGTGAAATGAATTTATGCCCCATACAGTTCTCAAGTGATCCCCAGTGTGTTTATTACCCTAATCTAAAATACTTACTAAAACACAGGTTGATGTATATGAAAAAAAAGCCTCTTAGATGTTTTATTGAAGAAAAATCACGACAGTGTCTAAGTTGTAGTTTTAGCAATAGAAATGTATGCACTTCAGAGATTAAACATAGTATATAATAATATGACACATTAGCCACTAGTTTGGATTTTTAAATGATATTTTAAACAAATGTGGACACTCCTGACTCTCAAATGCAAAGGACCTTGATGATAGAATTTATAAAAATATAAGCGGAACACTCTGTGAACATAAATTCATTCTCAGAGTCACCTCAATGATAGATATGTCAGTTTTACATTGTATATTTTAAATGAGAGAAATGTAGAAATCTAGAAATTACCTTGGACCACAGCTGCTACATCACAGTTTGGATCAATGCTTCCAATGTGGCTTGGGTTTCCTGTCTGTGAATCACTAAATATAAGAACTGTTGAAAAATAAAACAAAAATATTGCAATAAAAATCAGGATAACGATTAGAACTATCTGTGAGAAATCACGTGACCTGCTGACTAGTGAAGTATCTAGCTGAAGAGAGGCTTTTATTCTCCACCCACATCTACACTTCATGATCTTGATGTATGAACTTACTATGCTGGTTCATCAGCATCCGAGTAGAAATGCGGTTCATGTAAAATCGATCCAAAAAGTACTGAAGATTTTGGTTGGTGACTGGATCAACTGTGCAGCCATCTTTATACTCTATGATTCCTTGTGCCATCGTAGGGACCACATTATGGTGTCTATTTCGAACTTTGACGAGTGTATCTACAAAGCTAAGCCATGACATTGCCGTTCAGTGAAAGTTCAGATACATTTCATTCAATTATATTCTCCAGGGTATTTTAAGGAAGGCTAAAGCTGTTTTTGTGGCACCTGTGTAAACAAATCAAGCAATAAAATGCTAGAGTGAAGCTGCATGAGGGCTCCCACAGTAGATGTATCCACTCTTGTAGAGGTAATTGTTTTTATAAACGGATGACTTTTGTTTTTAGCTTGCATGTGAAACTATTAGCTCTGTGACTGGTGCATTCATCACAGGTGTCCATTAAGGCTTCTCTTCAAAAATAATAACTAATATCGGAGATGACTCTAGAATGTCATTGTGAAAAAACTTTCAAAACTTCTTGTCAGATTTAGAAAAATATTTTTATTTAGGTAGCTAGAAGTTGTCAGTTACTCTGAAAAAAGTATTAATTTCCAATGACAATAAAATGTATTAAAATTGTGTAATAGGAAATCCTCCTGCACATCTCAGCATTAGACTAAATTTATAGTAAAAATAGACCTCCTTAGGGGACAAAAAAAAAGAAAACAAGTCGGCCACATTTGCTCACACTCAGTGACATTTTCCATATCACATTCCTTCACTTCTAGAAAAATCAACAGGCAAAGCTGGCCATCTGGAAGGGGGTAGTAATTTGTTATTTGGGGTTGAACTCCTTTCATTTATGGCTAAAAATATCTTAGGAATATTTCTGTATACACTCATTCCATCTTACAGAACTTACTCTGACAAAGCTTTCTGGTCATCCGGACTTTTCTCATGGAATTCCACCAAATCCATCAGGCTCTGGATGTACCTGGAAAGGAATAGGTGAGTTTTATATCTTACAATTGACAGCCAGTATGAATGACTGAAGGTAGAATGCCTTTTTCAATTAACTTGAAAAAAGAGCAAGCATTATGTTTCAAATGGAAACTTTCCTCCAAAACATTTGGAAAACAATATGATATAAACATCTGAAATGCTATAACTTTTAACACTCAACTTCCTAACTTAAAATGTCTATTTAACTATTTCAGATTGGTATTCAGTTTTCTGACTTGTTTGGCAAATATTTTCATTTTTTCTCCCAAATACACTTAGAAACAACTTTTAAAAAGTGGCTTCTGATTTTTTCCTACTGCATTCATTCTTAGAGGAGTAGAAGTCTTGACTGCAGCACTGAACACTGCAGATCAAATGTGCATTTCAGGTTGTCATTATCTTCTGGGTGTATAATACAATATATTTCTTGACTCGATGGACAAAAAGTTGTGCCATCACGGATGATGACAATATTCTCGCGTGGTGTCTGCCACCTGTGTACATCCTAACTCTGTTATCCAAAAACTGTTCTTTCATGTTACGAGCCTTCTCTAAATATCAGGATCCTTATTTGTAAAATGAGATGATAATAACTGACACTTACTGAGGGCTGGCTGTGTGCCAGGAACTGTTCTAGGTAGAAAAACTTTTTTTTTTTCTTTTAAAATGGATTACCTCATTTAATTGCACTCAACGTTCCCCTGAGGCATATACTTTACTCTCCATAATAGGAGATGGGGGACAAGAATAACACACTGGCATAGAGAGCTTAACTCACTCACTAAAGTCTGGCCAAGGCAGACTTTGAACCCAGGGCCCACTTGGTCAAACACTTTGTAAACAACACAGTCTAGGACCTCCCTAAACAGTAGTCATTTGAATCAATTTCTAGGCATAGAATTTCTTTTGCAATATCAGACTCTGTGTTTTATTATTTAAAGTACAAAATTAAAACAGTATATGCTAACTATTTTTCAAATTTCTTTTAGAAGTCAAATTTTTATTGTAAAAGAAACTACTTTTTCAGGCTCAAAATGCCTGTCTATAGCTTTATAGCTGCCCTAATGATAACTTTAACAGTTTTTTATATCTTTCAAAAGTATTTACTGTTTAGACCACCTGTTTTCCAATTGTGATGTTAATATAGTATAAGAAGTCACACTCAGTTGACTGCTTTAAATTGAAAGACTTCAAGATGGTTCGTCACTTACCAGCTTTTAACCAACTGTACTGAAGAGGTATTTACTAATCGATCAGGGAGGATATCAATCTCCTTCAGAATATTGGCGAGCCTTACAGGCAATTCTTGTCGCAAAAATGCAAACGAAGTTCTTTCACATGCATTGTCTGAGCCTATAATAAATGAAATGTATAAAGATTTTTTGGGGCAGAAGTACGTCTAAACAATATTGAACATACACATATATTATAAAAGTACGCTTCATTTTCAGTTGGGTTACTCTGTATAGATAATTCAGGAGCAGTTTTCTTCTCCATTGACTCCCTCCTTCCTCCCCTTCCCTCTCTCTCTCTCTTTCTTTTAAAAAATGGCCAATGCAAGAGAATTACTATTTCCTCTTTTTGAAGAGGAGTCACTTCCAAGAGGTCAAAATATCCCACATTTTCATAAATGTATTCCCAAAGACTGCAGGAATCATCAACACCACCATGTCAGTTGGCACAACATCCTTCATGTGCCTAGACATGAAATGGGAGTGGGAGGCTAAGAAGGTAGTGTGAGAGTGAGAGTCGTGGTTTCCAGAGCAGAGATAAATAACATCACATTTAAACCCTCGACACTTTCCTCATACAATCACTGCAGCCAGCGTGTAAACATTTTCAGCAGCACTATAGGTATGTTAAACGGTCATGGTAAAGGGACAGAGAACACCCTTAGGGATGCAGGGAGCTGTCCCAGTGGAAGAGTGGAGGTGGCGAAGGGATAATATCCACTAATTCGAGGCTACTTGACACTCTGGAGAATCTTCTCCAGGAAGTACTACACTGAGGAAAGGGGGATACAGTTTCGAGTCCCCTGTTAAACGGTGGCCGAAAGCAAAACTATTGGGCAGAAAGAATGGCACAGAGGCCAAACCGACGGACGAGGGTCGCAGGTGGCCTGGACCTGCAGGCACAACTGCCAGGAAGCAGCCAGACCTGGGACAAGGAGAGGTGCTGGGGAGGCTCCGGGTTCCGCAGAGAGGGGGCCCAGGGTCTCGGCTCTTGAGTCCACTCGCCCCCTTCCCCCGGCCGTGTCTCTGCCGCCCCCGCCCCAGGTCCCACATG